TCATCCAGCTATTTTTATACAGATGGAGATGATTCTAATTTATGCAAAAAATAAACACGGTCAGTTCAAATAATTGCGATCTGGTGATTATGTAATAATTGTGACAGCATACTCAAACAATGCTGCAACTAGGCCTAAGAACAGGGAAATGTAACAGTCATGCTGCTCAAAACAAAACCTATGTTACTACACTACAGGAAGAAATCCACGGCCAACATGATTCACACAAGTCTGCATCTATGTTTTGAGTAACAGCTCAAAATTGCAGAGCAACTCAAAAACTAATATTTCTTAAAGTGCAAAACTGTGCAATATGTCGCAAAATTAGATATAATAAAGAAATAAAAAAAATTTAAAAATCACTGCACACCCAAACTAACCATTTCTAGTCATAAAGTACAGTGGTACCTCAGTTCTCAAACTCATTAGAACTCGAATTTCTTAAAAGTCGAACCAACCAGTTTGGAAAAAAATTACCTAGAGCTCGATCTGAATCTCAGAAGTCAAACCGTGAACGCCGACCTAAGAACTTGTATGCGCGGGGAAATGAGTCACGCGGCACGTCTCTCAGCGGAAACAAAGGGTAACAAACTGAAATGAGGACGAAATACAGAGGACTAATGACAACAACCAGAAACAGCTGATCACACAGGGATTCCACACGGTGATTCCACACGGGGTTAACGAGGGGGCGCGGCACACGGAAGGAGCGGACGATCGGGGCAGGACACATTTGAATCTCAGAAGTCAAACCGTGAACGCCGACCTAAGATAACTTGTATGTGCAGGGAAATAAGTCAAGCGGCACGTCTCTCAGCGGAAACAAAGGGTAACGCTTCAGCCTGGCATTCGCTGTGATAGCATCATGCATGTTTACACTAGCTGAATACATATATACAGACAGTAAGAATACATTTAGACAATGATAGACAGTAACAGTAATTATTATATAATAAAATACATTTAAAAATAAAGATTTATTAACTATTTTAATATCATTAATAATAAACCATTAATACATTTAAGTATAATAATATTGTCGTGCCAAGCGGGGACGGTGACAAAGGCGCAGACATCAGGGTATCGGGGAATACGGGGTTTAATGACAGGTAAGGCAGGCAAAACGCAGACGGACAATACAATGACCGGACTGGGGAAACTAACTGAAACGCGGACTAAATACAGAGGACTAATGACAACCAGAAACAACTGATCACACAGGGATTCCACAGGGGATTAACGAGGGGGCGTGGCTCATGGCAGGAGCTGACGATCGGGTCAGGACACATTGTTTTTTTTTTTCTTTAACTTTACACATTGTTTGGATACATTTATTTTCTTACTTTACAAATTACGGTTTTGATAAATGTGCTTAGATGTGTTTAGTACAATATATGCTCTTCGTGTTTTATCCTGTTCATTTTGTGTTTAAATGCTTAAAAAAAAAAACATTTAGGTGTAATTTTTTGGGGCCGGGAACCAATTAATTGGTTTTCCATTATTTCTTATGAGGAAAATTCGATCAGAACTCGAACTTTTTAGGATTCGAACCCGAGTTCTGAACGGATTAAGTTCGAGTTCTAAGTTACCACTGTATCTTTATTAACAGCCACTTTCAGTTTAATAATAGCAGCAGCACAGCCAGGGAACTCAACAATTTACACGACACTCAGGGATACGCACTAAACACACGCATTGCACGGGTTGCCAGCTATTATGCATCTGGCGTGACACACACTTTTTGACGCTCTCACGCAAGAAATCTTATGGCAAATCTATATTATGGTCAAAACGCTTTGTACAAAATGTCGTATTTGGTGCCGTCTATTCCCTTTTTTTGTCTCGACCCCAAATATAAGACGATATCAATTGCTTTTTAAATTAGATCCTAGATTTGGAGGGGGGAAAGAGCTTCTATGGCAACAGTACGAGGAGAGGGTAAAAACTGCCGTCTTCTATACTTTTCCATTACAAATCGGTCTAGTCCCCAGCCCTTCCCAGGCAACAGCTCCCATGAAAAGGGCAGAGTTCAACCACATACTTTCCCATGCAACTGACACTGCCTGAGTGAAGCACACAACCCCCTACTGACCTCCTGCCACTAGTGTTCTGATGACCTAGACAAGATGATACCATCCTATGGTAAAAGATACAGCTCCCACCAAACATAAGTTTCAGTTTGATTTAGTATCTCCTTTAAGAATAGACAAACTCAATCTTAAAATTATTCAAAACAATAATTCAGAATTATTCTATGTATTTGAAAATCATTATCCACTAGAGCATACTACAACTGACACTGCTAACAAGCACAAAAGTCACAAACTACATACCAGTTCCTGGAAAAGTGATTTAAGAGCAGGAATTTTGCAAATTCTGAGTAATCCGGAAGGTTATGAGATCAAGCAGTCCATAAAAGCAGTCAGGGCCCTCTCAAAATGCTGTGACCTGCTATTCCTGCTATTAAACAGGACATATTCTCCATGCTATAAGCTATAAAAATACTTTCCTGACATATCATATATGCCCCCACTTCCTCCAACTTAGAAATAAAAAGAGGGTTTGTGGCCAGGTTCAACAGCATTGATTGTACCTCCTGCAAGTCTAGCAGTAAAATTAGATTTGCTTATTCTGTATTTTTTCTTCCTTCAACTGTGCCTCTAAATACACACCTCTCAACATGAATGCATCTACAAAGCACAAATAACAGACCTTACTAGACCTTACTAAGTTGTGAGATAAGGAGCACTCTGACCCTATGGAACTACCCATGGGACGTAACCAATGTAAACTGATTTGAATAACAGCTCAATTACAATGAATACATGCCCTTAAACAGATCATCTTGACAAAGAACAGTATCTTTGTACTGTGAAAATCCATGTGCTTAAAATTATATATTATTTATTTATTTATTTTAAAAACACAGCTTAAAGAGCTTTCCCACTCAGAACAGAGGAACTGCTCACCAAAAGCCTGCTGGGGACAAAATATCTCACCTGACTGCAGTTTGCTGGCATTGTCCAAATGAGTGTGCCATGTCAGCACAAACCTGATGTTTTATAGAAAGCAATAACTGCACTGTAGAGCGATGTATTCTTACTCACATGCAAGACACACCTCAAAAAGTGCAATCACCTTCCCTTATAAACAAATAAAAATTAGCTTTATTTTCTATAAATGTGATCAGAGTACCTTCTGAAGATCTGCAGCAAAGTTTATTTCAAATAAACTTTCTCCACAGCTAACATCCTGCAGCCTTGCACCCATCCTTAATGCACGACTCCAAGCACCTCACTGGACCTTTTCTCTGGTTTTCCAAAACAAACATTCAACACACACATACTGCAGTAAGATAAGTGTTAACTATGCTTCGTGGGAATTCCTTGTTTATAAATTCCTTATCTAAAACACTTATCTGTTAATTAATGAAGGTGGACTTGTATAACAGATTTTAAACAAATGCCCACAGACTAATAGCCAAACTCACCATTGAAAGACTCCGGGTGACTACTACTTTACAGCTCTTCTGGAAACTTGAGTCTAGATTTCAACTGTTTTTTCCTAGGGTACAGCAACTCTTAAAATACTGCTGGGCTCCTTCCTCCAAGCCAAGACTCTGAGAGTGCTAACGCTAATTGTGCTCTCAGTGTCAGTACAATCTCAGCATTTCAGTGGAGGCACTGTCTTGGATTGTGCAGAACTTTCCAAGGACTGACGCTATATGAATAATGTACAGATACTTTATTATTCAAGTGTTACAGGTACATCATCATGGTCAGTTAAAAGCTGAACGTCAGCTAGGAGCAAACTGCCTAGTTCACTCAGTTCCATGCGCATCGACTCTCTTGTAATCGGTTCATTATATTTCCAGCAAATCTGGAACAGGGACTTGCACAAAGCATCAGTACATCTGAATAAGAAAAGCTTAGTGACAACATTGAAAAGTAATAATTATGCATTAGTCACACCTACAACAGCCATTAACATTCCAGAAAGACGAAGCCAAACTCATGGGACTACAAACCATATAAAAATCGTCTAAAATTAGTTTGTGAATAACGTATATATGTAAAAAAAAAAATAATAAAGGAGAGAGGGGAAGGGGAATGGTGTTTACAACGCTGTAACCCAAAGACTAAACTTTGTTAATACGGGTTCAACGAAAAGAGCTTTCTAAACATGCTGCCAATTACACATTAAGAGGGGGGATTAAAACACACACGGCATCGGGCTGGTATATTTCATAACAAGATACGTATGTGATATTAACCATTGTCAAGCTTTTCTACGCATAAACACATTCAAACATATGATCGCACTGGTGACGCACGCAGCCAGCTCAGCTTTAGACGCTAAAAGGAAACTGGCCGCGACAAGTAAAGTGACAGTGTATAACCTAGTTGTCAGATAAAAGCTGCTTTGTGGCATATGAGAGGGTGCCGCAGTCTTCATATCTGCGAAATAACTACGTTCGTATGACGTTTTCCTTTTAAAATTACACCGTTAAGCTGGAGGACGAGAGACTGCAACCAGCTAGTTAGCTTTCCCGAAGCGTCTCATATAGATAGATCAAATTGGTGATAAGTTACTGCCAACCTACCCATACACATTGTGACACCATAAAATTATAAATATGTTACACAAACATATATACGAACCGGCAACTATTTCACTAGTCAGCCAACAAAGAGAAAGCAGGGCGATACGGCTAGCCATACACGACGGCGGACAAAGAAAGCGGGGAGGGGGAAGTCTAGTACTACAGCGAATTTTCATTTTTGTGTTGTTTCTTAGTTTGTGGGCTAACTAACCGCCACACGAACTGGAAAAGGTAACAAAACAAGCCCATGTCCAAGGACAAAAACACAATAAGACAACTTTCGGCGGTTTTCTTTGGAGCCAGATAGCTCGGTAACATTAAGGAATAATGAGCTTTTATCCCGCATCTTCTTTTGCCAATTAAAATTATTAGTCAGCTCTATGGCCGCGAATATCACCTGTAAGCGAGGGTCATGCACTCGAATAGCTTGGTGAGGGAGGCGTCGATAGAAAAGTGCGACGTGCTGGTCTTGCCGAAGTGGTACGTCTGACAGGTCTGTTTGTTGACCGTGTCGAAGTCGTAGCCCTTCTTGGGCGGGTGCTCGATGTGCGGCGAGGACACCATGAAGTGGCCGCTGTGGATGATCTGCGCCTCGCGGTCGTCTGACCTCTTCAGCCCTAGGTTGGGCTCTTCGGAATCCGAGTCGTCATCCTGCGGCTCGTGCTGCCGCCGCTCGCGCTGCTGCAGCTCACGCTTAGTGATCACGCGACGGCTTTGTCGTACGTCCCGAGTTGCCATTCTGTAGCCGTTACTTTCCACGTCGTTTTCATGTATGTAAAAAGACACATGAAGCCCCCTACTCGCGGCTATAAATTACAGGTGTCGTTTTAAAAAAGTGGCAGAAGTACAGGTCACTCCAGCCATTTTCTCCTGCTGCGCTTCCCTCTTCTTTTCTTCCCAGCTAGCTAACGAGCAGACCGCAGCACTGCTGAAGGATCTCAAAAGTAAGGACATGCCGCCGACGACGTCACCAGCATGTAGTCGACCATGATTGGCTGAGCACCAGCTGCGGGTGGAGCCTTAGTGGACCTTCCAGACTGCGGGGAGATTTCCTTAAATGCCAGCAATTTAAGAGCAATGAAATCTACCTTATACAAATCCTAAAATGGTGTATTGGCGGGGAGGGGGGCTACAATGGTATAAAGTTCCAGTAATCAGCTTTTGTTACTACATTGCCATTTCCTCTGGTAAGCTGCTTTTAAAAAAGTGGGCGCAGCATAAGAATTTTCGTGATTTTTTCCAGATTTTACAAATAACAACTCTTAAGAAAATATAAACGTTATCAGTGTATGCTGATCATTTAGCAGCAGCAGCGAAGTATTAATTTCACAGTTCTTCGTGATGGGTGGATCCCCTTGATCTGCTGGATCCATGTAATCCATGACACGGAATGCAGTCTGAGTCAGACTATGCAAAGCCTCATTTCAGATAACAAAATCATTCTATCAATGTTGAAGACAGTAGTCAATATATTCACAAGTTTCTTTCAGCTCAGTAGATAGTCACATTGACATATTAACATTGTGATGTAAGCAAATGAAGAGGAAAACTGAAATCATTTATCCATCTTCCATAAGTATTTTCAGAACCTCTTTTAGGAACAACAGGACACATGAGGCAGGGGATATATGGGATCTAACCAATCACAGGACACAGTCTCATACTACTGGCAATTCAGAAACACCAATTCATCAGTCTTTGAGTTTCAGGTGGTGACCCGGAATACCCAGAAACCCTTGTAATCATGGGCGGAACACTCTGCATCAGCCGATGGTGGGAATCAAATCCACGACCCTGGAGATGCCCTTCTGCTCAAATGACTGAAAGTGCTTCCCTTTTCAGGTCCTCAGCTTTAAGAAGTCTCTGTATGGCTCTACTAGACATAAAACAAATATGCAGGTTTGAGTGTTTAGAACATGTTACATTTCATAACCCAGTTCCATAATAAGTAATACTATAAAACTAATTAACATGACCAAAGATCATGCCTTCCTTTAAGGACTCTAGCAGTTTCTACTGTACTCCAGTGTAATACTCCTCCTCCTGTTCTTCAGAAAGCTGTTAACATGGATATAGTATGGTGCCTGCCATGGCAGTAACCCTAGGGCCTGCTTCTGGATACCTGTGCTGAGGAAGGCTACCAGGCTGAAGTAAGAGGTTAACTGGGGAATGATTGCACAGGGGTCTCCAAGACAGCTGACGGGTAGCGAAAGACCAGTAACGCTGTTGTGAAAGGCAGTGACAAAGGTGACACCTCATGCATGGGAGGAGTTTGGAGAGGTTGCAGAGACAGACTATTAAGCTCCAAAGATGTTTCAGCAAACCATTTGACATTTCTGGAGGGGGTAGTGGGACCTTGCTCAGGCTGTCTTCAGCCAGAGTGGGGAAGTGCTGACTTGCTCAGGGGCAGAAGGAACACTATGAGGGACTCCTCAACCTCGTGGATAGGTCCTATCTCTGGGAGGCACTGTTGTATACTTCAGCTGTATCAGAGTCTATCACCGTGGCTCAAGATGCTATGGTGTCAACAGCCTCCATGGTGGAAAGGCTGCAGATGTACAGAACACCTGTCCATAGGTGTTGAACAGGGGTGGTGCTCCTTATTTTTACAAAGGGAAACTGGAGAGTGTGTTCCAGCTATAATGGGATCTCAGTTCTCAGTCTGGGAAGGTTCACTGCAACTCTGTCCTGGATAAGCAGGCAAATGTTGACATTTCTAAGCTTTTGCAGTTCCAGCATGTTATCACAATCATGCAATCATTCAAAGGAACACATCCATAAAAGTGAAGTAGTTTGTGTTTTTATTATTAAAACAAATCCATTGTACATGATAAAAACATCACTACTGATGGAATAAATAAGTCAAAACCAGATCTTACTGCTGTACAAGACAATACTACTGAAGGCCGAAAGGGAAAAAAATGGTCCCAAAAATATACTATATATTTTTAACATCTCACTAGCTATAGGTTCAGATTGTTGAAGTTAAACAAATGAGGGCAAAACCCCAACTTGATACGGTGGTAAAATGGAAAAAAACAGAACTCATAAAACAGTTTTTTTTCCCCCAAGCAGAGAGCCTTGCATGATTTTTGAAGTCAATACATAGTGTGTAAGTGCCAGCACTGCTGGACTAAGAATGAGGTATTCGCAGAGCCCTCTAACCAAATACTCATTGTAACCCCACGGAAAAGAACATCGCTTTGTACTATTGTGTATTTTACCATAAAAAAAACAAAAATCCTGGATCCCCAGACATCTTTGAAGAGGAAATTTCATGTTGTTTTTCTTGTCTGGGGTTCGAGACACAGAATATGATCCCCATTACGAGCCTGATCCCTCAGCATTAATGAAGCAACCTCCTGGGTTTGAACAGAGTAAGAAAACACAGGATACATTTTGTGGGAAAGGCAGATTTTGAGACAAGGCCATCCCACATCTTGCCATCACAACTTCCAGAAACCTGAGGATTAACTTTGGAACCATCGTTAGGCGTTGGAGAGTTAAGGTGTGGCCTTCATATCCCAAGAGATGGCAACACAAATGCATCAGGAGACAGCCTTTACTTTATCTTACTTTTTTAAAACGCTTGTGCAAAAATGCAGCGCCATCCAAATAGGGTGAAGTTGGCAACGCCATCCCACTGAGCACTCAACTGTCTCTGAGGTTTAACAAGCACCTTGACAATGTGAGGAGGGTGGGGGCAGCAGGAGGGAAGGGAGCGGGTGTCCAGGGCCCCAGCAACGGTAACCTAGCTGGCCTCTCCCTGTGGAACTGCCATGGGTGCCTGTCATCTGCAGCTTAAACCATTATGGATGATCTGAACTGAGCAAGTCCTTTGTTGTACATGCCGGCACTCAGCACAGCTATCCCAGAATTGCCTAAATTGGTGCAGATGGATGCTGAACATTGGAAACCATACACTATAGCCATCCTACACCCTACCACGTTAACTGGATTACCACATACACAGACTGAAGTGCATACCTTATCACACCAGAGGATGGGCCACGACAGTGGAATGTTCCCTAAAATATCTGGGAAGTCATATCTAACTGGAGTCCAAATATACATATACTATTTAAAATAAACAGCTCATCTCAAGTAATTACCCAGCAATGCCAAACAATAGTAGTGTATAGCTTTCAAACAAACCCAAAAAGATACTCTCCTTGGTGTCTTACTGTTTACCATTTATTTTCTTATGTCCAAAGGAGAGAGAAAAAAGTCTATCGGTACTATTTTTGGGGAAAATGAATTCTTAGTAGCATGGATGCTGTAGTGCTGTTCCTGGCATCGTAAGCACAGAGCCTGGGATGCAGAGTTAAAGGTGACTTGCTCATAATGCTCTTTAACAGCTCATTTAAAACTAGGCAAATCAAAGAAAAATCCAACGCAACTAACTGAGGCTCTCATTTCATTTCAGTTCTGCTTTACCGCTGCAAATGTAACCATCTCCAAAATTACTCTTGGCATCCTTATCGTATACGCATGGGTGTTGTTCGTGTAAAATGAACTTTTTTTTTCTCCTTGTGAAGCATTTTAGAGAAAAGCAAATCAAAATGTCAAATACAGGGCACTTAAAAGACAGCAGAAGGTAAAAAATATATATACACACATACAGGAAAAAAAACACAAGCTTATCGTTTTGGTAACGCAAGGCACATAACCAAGCAGGACCTATGCTACAAACTGTTCACGAGAGTAAGATTAAACAAAACTGAACAAACTAAATATGTAACCTGTACCATTAATTAAATATTTTGTTGTTGTCCTTGTTAAATAGACTTGAAAAATAACAGCAGCAGCACCAGCTGTGATCTTGACATTTAACAGTGCGTTGACCCTCCTGAGCAAAAAAAAAAAAAAACACAAAAAAAACCCCAAACCCCCAGAGCAGAAATGAAGAAATGAAACAATAGGAAAGCTTCTGAGAAATCTAATAGATTAGTTGCAGTGGTGTGTCACAAAAAGTGAAGACAGACCCCGGGTCCATTTTAGCCTTTGCCACTAGGTGGCACAGTTGAAGAGTAGGGTTATCTGTCTTTCGACCAGTGCTTCAGTGGGAGTGGGGGTGCTATCTCTATTGAGAGTGAAACGAAGGTACGGATCTCCACTGTTGTTGGCTGGCCATCTGAGGGCTGCTTGTCCCTCAGGTACTGCCCCCTGAATGGTTCTCAGCTGGACTGAGAAAGGGGGGGGGGGCACGGCCGGTAGGTGGTAGGGCGCAAGGTGAGCAAAGTTGTCCCAGGCCACCATGAGCGAGTATTCAACAACAATATTTCACAGAGAGATGCTGACCTTCCACGTCTGGGGACTTGGGACTGGGTGGCGGGGGGGCAGGGACATCGCGTGAGTCGGTAGATAGGTGAGGGGAAGAGGTGGATCAGGTATTAGATGCTTAATTCTCCTCGAAATCTGGAGATGGAGACTCCAGTTTGCCTTTCTTACTGGGAGGGGCACCATCTTCCAATTCCTGTTTTGAAGTAAAAATCATTCAAGACAGCTGTGCATCAGTTTACTTGCAAAGTTTACAGACTTCTCACATAAACTATCTATTTTCACGGCCATGGGAGGATCCAGTAGCTTTTCACAGGCTGCACAAAGCATGGGGAGAAAGCAGTGTACCCTGCCGAGGTGGAGTTCGAACTCCTCACCCTGCTGATGTGAGGCAGAGAAATGTACCCCAGCAAACTCATATGAAATTCTCCTCCAAAGGCCACATATTAGACAACTCTCAGCCCTCCACTGATTTCCCTTAAATTAGTAATATTCAACAATGAACGTATATGCCCTTCAACTTGCAAGTCATGTTAGCAGGCTTGCAATTAGTAAGATATAGATCAGTGGTCTCCAACCACAATGCTGGCAGGCTGTGGGACGTGTAGTTTTCCAATCTTCATTTGTAGTTTATATTACTGTAATTAATAAAGCTATCTGAAGTGATCAGTCTCTT